TTAAGTATAGTTTACAACATGAGCGGCCGTGTTGTATGGGAATTACAATCTCGAGCCGCAGGCGAGAGATTGTAATTCCCATACAACACGGACGCGAATGTTGTAAACGACTTATAAAACTCCAACACAAATTAACATGAATTACAGTGAGATAAATGACGAAAAATGACAAATAAGGTAACTGCTGAGTTTAGTCCCTATTTAGCATGCGCAATTTACTGCAACACAGAACATTTTGAATAATTATCCATCCCACATGGAAAGCAAGCCATCTGTTGCATAAGCGAGTTCTGTTATCCGTCTTTGATTGCTTCAAAACCTAGTGAAGGTCTATGATGCGACACTAAAACTGAGACCTTTGCTAGTGTTGGGTTGTCTCAATGGTGACGACCGTGTTGTAAATCTGATACAACCACTAGTTGTATCAGATTTACAAGGTCAATCACCTGATTAAATGGTCAGCCCTTATTGGAGCAATAGCTTATGCATTATTAATAAGTTTTATAATATCTATGACTTGAGAATAAAAAAAATTCCTTTGCATTATAGAAAGCACTTTCGAAACCACAACAACAACATCAAGAAATACAGCAAAAGTAGGTCTTAAACTTAAACATTGAAAAGTATATATAAAGTTGGTTGCTGCTAGAGCACCACCTCAGACTGTAATGTTATTGAGTTTTGAGTTCAAACTGCCTTAATTGTCTTTCAGGCTGAAAATTCCARGGAAAAGAAGAAGGCCAAGAAATCAAAAGCTAAACTTTTTGATTTGCTCAACGACAGTGATGAAGATGAAACAGAGGTAAGCTTGATTGGGGTTGATAAGGTTGCATGTGGAGAAACTTAATTATTTCAAAATTAGCTGCCATCATGTCATTAAATTTAGAACATTGACTATTGGAACCAAGGTAGCCTGATTTTCAGACTGGCTCTGTTTTTCCTAGGAGCGTGATGTTCAACCTCCACCAAAGAAATCCAAGAACAGTGCATCCTCAAATAATATAGACAGTGAAAATCCCTTGGATTACTATGAGAAGGTTCGCTTGGAGAAGGAAAAAGCCAAAGAAATCAAGGACCTTGCAGCAAGGTATGAAAATCAAGGGAGGGACTTTCATTCTCTTCATCTACCAGCACCCCTATAATGTGTTCCAGGGAGGAACTACAATCATGGACATAATTCATGGGACAAAGTGTATGTCTATATGTCTACTAAAACTTACAGACAATTTCCCCCCGTGGCCCCCCATTTCCAATGTTGGGCTCGAAACAAACCCTCCCTCCATACCGAAACATTCCCGCCAACAACATTTTGTTAAACAACATTGACTGTGGCGGTTGGGGGGAGGCTTTGAGTAAGCATTAAAAAAAGACCATAAGAGAGTGCATCTGCTAGAGCGCAGTAATAGCGTTCTGTCCTATTCAATTTTGTCTAGGATTGTAGCTGGAGCTTGGCCTCCAGAGACTCAGTGTTAATGGTGTACTCATTTTACTCTTCAACCTCTCTTTCCATCCACGCTCCATATCAAAGAATTTTTATTTTCATTTTATCAGAACAAAGCTAAAAACTTATTGACTGCAAGATGTTAACATTTGAGATTAGCATTGGTTTAACTCTTTGAGAAAATATTGTCATTAAGTTACAAACTCAAGAATTATTTAGTTTATCTGCGGTGCTTTTGCTTTTATCAATCATTGACATAATCATTAACATATTCATTAACATAATCAGTATCATAAACATTATCATTGTCATTATCATTATCATTATTAATTACTATAATTATAGTAGTATTGTAATATAATTAAATTCCATGTTTTGATGTTTTGCAGGCTCATGCACGAGCCTCATCTGGAGCTGGAGGACTTGGATGTAAATGAGGAAGGCAARAGAGCTATAACTTATCAAGTAAGACTGTTTTTCCATTCTTCTCTTTGTTTACTATGATTATATTGATCATTTTATTATCTTCTTATGATTTCCTATATGTGAATTGATATGTGACCAGAACTTGCTAGAACCAGCGATGTACATATGTAGAGTTTCTATAGTCAATGACGCCATGCTATAGAATATAATATAGCTTAAATCACCAACAGTATTAACTAATGTTGTGGAATATTGAGACTGTTTACATGACGTAGAAATTAGTCTTACTTTAATTTGGCTGAGAAAATGGGGTGAATACACTGGGACTGGATTTAGAAACTGGAAATAGGATTGAAAAACTGAAAACTTATGGGATTATGTGATGTTGGAATGGGATCTTGTCTACAGTAAATACATGTATATGATGGGAAACTAGGATTTAAGTTATATCTGCCATTCAGGATGCTCTTATAATACTTGCTAAAACGTAATGACTCTTGAAAAAAGATTTATTTACCTCTACATTTGTGCACAGATTTCCAAGAATAAGGGGCTCACTGCCAGGAAGAAAAAAGAGGATAGAAATCCTCGCGTAAAACACCGGAAAAAGTATTCCAAGGCAATTGTTAAAAGAAAGAGTCAGGTAAKGACAAGATAGAGCATTGCAGTCTGCATTGTAAATCTTGTGTTATAATATTTATCTGCCTTATTTAACAGGTTCGTCCTGTGGTCAATGAGACAACGCGTTACGACGGAGAGAAGTCTGGTATTCGTGCATTTCTCACACGTAGTATCAAAATCAAATAGTGYATGTTTATCATGGAATTTAGCTTCTAAAATGAGGCAAATTTTTGTAATATTTATTAATTAGATATTTTTGATTTGAAAATCTGCTGCGGACGTTAATTATATATAATTCAATTTGAAAAGCTCAATTCTCACCAAGGGTTTTATCCTTCCTCATATACCATCCTTTAAACTATTTTTTTTAAAGTCTTAAGGGCAACAGTTATAGATYGGGTTTTGGTGGCCAGAGTGAGAATCATAATTCTCACAAACAAAATGAGAGAGAAAGAGAGACTCAGCTTCCTGCTGTACTCACTGTCAGATAGCTCCAGGTTTTTATGTTAATGTTAAAATATAATCTGAAAACATCAGAAATTGACTGATGATCTTTCTAACATTAATTTACGTACTTGAAATGTTGCCAAGCTGAAAATTGTACTGGCCATATTTAGCCACCAAATAATCTATTAAAATCTGTTAAAATGTATGCACCGCATCAACAAATGACTGAATTGCTAATGCCCAAGCTTAGATGTGGTATTTATGAGACATAGAGGATATTACATGGGTGCATGGAGATACGGATTTTATCTTTAAGCATTGAAAAGATCTTTCACAAGTGAGCATAATGAACCAGTGAGAGATTTTTTCAATACGAGATGATAAAATTCATATYTCAAAGCAACTATGTAATATTCTTTTTTATCATATAATTATATATGAAAGCAAATTATGTCGTATAATACCATTTTTTACCAATATATAGAGAAACCTCCAACTTTTTGAAAGGGAGAAACATAGGTATTTCATAGAAAATTATGTGATAAATACCCATATATCTGTGCCCACACATCTGTCATTTTTTCMCATATTTGGAGAGGACAAAACTTAGTGTTAACTTAGGTTTAGGTAACAGATGAAACTTAATTTTTTTTTTGCCTTGAAATAATATTTGCACAGGTGGCCAATTTCAGTTCAAATTCACAAGCTTGTCTGTCATGAAGTCTAAAACTTTTCTCTCTCTCTGAAATTTCCTCTCATAATTTTAATTATAAGGAATTTTAAAATTTGTTTTCTATCAGGAAAACAATTATATGAAATGTCAGTGGGATGTATTTATATTAATGTCATTCAGAAACATCAGGAGCACTTAATCAAAGTGAAAACCCCTTAAGTTTGAATAAAATTACACTTACTTAGAGGACCCCCCTAGTGATAAAATTATTAAAAGTAAGATAATGTTTTCTTAACCAAATTCAACAAAACACTTCACAGAAAGATTAAAAGCACTATTTTKGCCATTAAGATGCTCAGCATGTTAWAATCATTTTGTATTTTCTTTTTGGTCGAATTTTATRCTTGTAGATTTTTCACTGTGGGGACACCTCACGGGGCTTTTGTCAAGAGGCATGACAGGCCAGTATGCACGAAGTTGAAACCGAACATCAACAAAGCGGAAAAATTATGCTGTATTTGTAGATCAGAAGCTACTTACGTGTCATTGCGTGGCTGCAAGCTAACATTAGCTTTCTCATCTTCATCCAAGCTTTCTTCAAACGCTAGCTTACTACGAATTCTGGTATTGTTTTTATAACAATTGCTACAAAATCCAGTGCAAGCAATGGCCGAAGTCGATTCAAACGAGCAACAAGTTTTAGAGGCCTTTAAAACCCTTCGCCTCAAGGCCAGAAAACTTGGAATTAAAGATTCTACGCTTTCAAAAGTCAATTCCGTAAGCAAGCTTAAAAAGCCTTCCAGAGCAATGTTTTTTGGAGCAATCCTTGTTTGCGCTTTGGCTATCGTTATTGGCTGTGGCGTTCTTGCGTTCAAGAAAGAAGTCATCACTGCAAGAATGGTTGCGCATTTTATTGCAGACAAAATCCTAGACTTTGAACTGGAAAAAGAAACYTGTTTCTTCCCAATCCCTGAAATTGTGCTGGACATATTTCGTCCACCAGTCGACTGTAGTATTTGTAAAAACGTTAGTTCGGTTGACAGAGTACGAAACATTTCTCCAAAAGAGTTTCTCGACAAGTATGCTTACACYGCGAGACCAGTYGTGATCGAAGACGGAATGTCGAATTGGACTGCTCACAAGTATTTCAGTTTTGATTTCTTTAAAAAGATTTATTCACCAAATAGTCCTGTAATGAAAAGTCGTGATCCACAATGTCAGTTTTTCCCGTACAAGACTAATTTTGCGTCACTGGAAGAAGTATTCCAGATGCCGGAAAAAGACGCGAAAATGGAGGGAAAGCCGTGGTATATTGGATGGTAAATGATATAATTAACCCTACTAAAGCCACTTTGTCTAACTACAATTATATAAAGCTTTCTTCAGTATTACACTGATTTATTTTMTTTTCGGCTTTTGTGTTTTGAAAAYAAGTTMTTTTAAATTGCAGTTATTTCATTAATATTCAATGTGAATATAGCACCTTAGTACGTGTAATTTTTTCCTGTTTCGTTTTGAGTGGGCCATTAAATTTACATATCATTTAAAATCAAATCAACTATACTAAGATATATTAAGATATTATATAAATAAAATTCATCTTTTCCTATCACACAGGAGTAACTGCGATTCCGAGGCTGCGAATGTGTTACGAAAACACTACAAAAGACCTTATTTCCTACCAGAAAACTCAGAATCAAGTAAAACAGACTGGATTTTCATGGGCTGCCCAGGATATGGGGCGCATTTGCATGTAAGGGGAAAGTGTCAATGTTTTACACCTGCGCATCCCACCCAGTATTGATCTAGTGTCATAATGGGTGGCATGGGTGGTCTAGTGGTTAAGCTACTGGCCTCTCACCGCTGTGGTCCAGGTTCGATTCCCGGACACGGACCATATGTGAGTTTGAGTTTGTTTGATGTGTTGTTCTCTCCCTTGCCACGAGGGTTTTTCTCCGGGTCCTCCGGTTTTCCTCCCTCAGCAAAAATCAACATGTGAGGAGTGTTGTGTGCTAAAATACTTAATGTAGAGGTAGTGAGTGTGAGAGTACAGGGTCCGCAGTAATTGGCTCACGCTGTTCCGGTGTCCCTGCCCATACTAGGGGCAAAGCTAATAAATTAAAAAATAAATAATAATAACTTGTTTATATCATAGATTGATCAAGTGGGAAACCCATCATGGCAAGCTCAGGTGAAGGGAACAAAGAAATGGACCCTAGAACCACCCCCTGARTGTGCTCATCATTGTCCCCCCAGAATGGAAACTATTATCCACCCTGGCGAAATAAGTAAGTSTTGTTCCACGTCAATAAGAAAGAAATAATCGATATTCAAACACAATTCAACATTGCTGTAACACAAAAATTCCTTGGTAGTCAAAATAATGGCTTCAGWCATCAAACAAAGGAACAAAAGAAATGTTTAGGGTGATGGATAATATATTAAACAGGCTTCAGACACAAGAACAATGTTTACAGACGTTGAAATGACGGGTCACCTAAAAATGTTAGAAAGTGTTGGGTGATACACTATTTTTTGTTTTTGGCCTGAGGGGTGCATGTCGCTTATGTTATTATTGTTCTTTTTTTGAWATTCTATCCACTCTCTTCCAATCAATAATATTTTGAATTGCTATGTGACTAGCGAGTCAGGAGCAGTGGTTATATTTTTAGATGGCCCATGGTTGACTAACCTTGCGTAAAACAATAATTCAAAGACAGAGCTCCCTCAGTCAATAAATAAACCTGTTGTTATAACTGAGACTGGTCTTCATGGTTATTCAACAAGAGCAAGTTTTATTTTCTGTTTTTCAAAGGATAATGAACATTATATTCTTTTTTCACTTAAACAAGAGCAAGTTTTATTTTCTGTTTTTCAAAGGATAATGAACATTATATTCTTTTTTCACTTACATGTATGTTATATTTTTCAACTAACTATCAAACTTGCACTTCTAACTTCATTTCTTTGTATCTTGACACGTGTTTAATTACATTCTCATTCTGTTTTACAGTTGTCTTGGACACAAACAAATGGATACTGAACATTTTATTCTTTTTTCACTTATGTTATATTTTTTTCAACTAACTGTCAAACTTGCACTTCTAACTTCATTTCTTTGTATCTTCTCTTGAGTCCTACATCTTCACCTTGACAYGTGTTTAATTRCATTCTCATTCTGTTTTACAGTTGTCTTGGACACCAACAAATGGTTTCACCAAACGGATATTCTCAAGGGTGAGCTAAGTGTCACCATTGGCTCAGAATATGACTGAAACATTACAACATGAAGACAAAATTCCCTACAAGACCATGTAGCCAAATATGGCTCCATTTCATTGGGTAAATAAGAAACTGCAAGCTAGAAGGCAATGCACTTTGTTTTCAAGCATTGCTAAAGCCATTCAGTAGAAAGATTATTCCATGCCAAGAATACCAATACATCAATCTTATCAGCTATAGAGAGATTCTCTTTAGAGAGACATAACCTGGAAGATAATCCATTTCCTAAGCCACTTTCACCATTGCTGATTAAAAGTGCTCATAAATAATTTATTAATTTCTAATATTATAATTTATTTTGTTAAATTCAAGAAGTCTTTACATGTAGACAATGCAGCCTCCCCTTTTGTCGGGCTTCCACAAAAGGGGAGGCTGCGAAGGAGACTAATTAATTAGTAGAATTGAATAAGTATAAACTCTATTCTCCAACAATTCTCCATATCTTGTAGTCAGCGTAGGTCATTTCCACAGACAGTACAACATGAGCAATTCATGATCCATAAAGAAGTGACAGCTCACATTAAATTAAGAAATAATACGTGTTTTGTATATAATTTGTGAAGTAGCAATAAATCAAATATTTCAAATAGGGTTATGTTGTTTTTGGCTTTCATTTGATATTTTTTTCGAGGCAGTATTCTTCCTCAATCAACACGGCCTTGTTGGATGATGTCTTGCACAGTGCTAGATTTTCACAGAGTCACTCCCATATTTTTCAGTTATTTTTCTTTTCAAATTTTTACTTGATAATTCCCTGCATTTTTTTCAAAAGAGAGTCCAACTCCGACTTGTGGCAAGGCTAATATAATACCCATGTTCAAACTTATAGTCTAGATTTATGATTTTTTCCCCCGTTTAAAATGAATTCGTTTAATCAATGAAATTGTACAAAAATCTAAATCTACACAATTGTAGTGTGTGACTTCATTAGCGTTTAAAATTTGTTATATGTCGTAATCACGTGGCCTGACTTCAACTTTCTTTTCGATTCAATTTCGTCGCTTGAGGATGAAGTAATTAGYAGCATCTATGAAGAACACAATACAGGCCAAGATACCGCAACTCTGTGGAAAAAAAAAACAAGGAGAATATCACTATAACAACGATATGGGATAAACACCATGTATTCCCATGAAGCATCACTCTGGCATCCCCATTGGGAATTTCCAAAGAATATTTGCTGTAAATTTCCATAGGTCGACACTACGAGAAACGCACAAGTACAGCACTTCTTATCTCAAATTCAATGTTGACAATACACAAGGCGAGGTTCCGTATCCGTGCGGCGTACTATAAAACATGAGGCACTCGCCCATGTGGGATAGGCGCAGAAATTATTTGCGCATGCGCACGCTTACCACAGTCAAATAGTACGATGTTGRTAGTATGTAACCCTGGTTCAATAAAGAACTAGCATGAACAATCAGGAGACTGTAGGCAATCAGGATGATAGCAGGCCAAACCAATGAATTGATCATCATCTGTTCCAAAAATATGAAAACCAATGAAGGTATTATATTATATTTTRATTATGCAAAATTAACTGAAATTTCTAGTATTAGTTTTCGATTTATTAGGAAAGATGGTTAATAAAAGTTATTTTCTTTTTCTTTTTTTTTTCAGATATCCTCTCRCAATATCCGGAATTCGACCAATTTTTGGTTCTGGAATCCGGAACACWGACAATTGGAGTCCGGAATCCGCGGCAATAAAAACGGAATCCGATAAAACAAAAGGAATCTGGAATCCAAATTAGTGACTTCAAATGAATTGTAAAAGAGTCACACTGACGACCAAAAAAAAGATGCATTCAATTCTGAATCCAATCTGACGCAATCCAGAATGATGGCGGAATCTTCCAATAGCTTGGAATGCAGAATCCAGGAACGCTGCGAATTCTGTCGTCACTGGCTTTTGAGAATTTAGTTTACCTTTGTTAACCATTTCCCTTCGTTTGCCTTCAGCTCTATAAAGTTACCGGCAAACAAGACATAGAAGATGATCAACTCCAGCCACGCGATGATGGTCGCCCAGATAAAAAAACCCGTGCAACAAGAAACGCCAGAACTGAATGCAATGAGGAGGAGAACCTTTGGAAAAATAAGGTCAGTAACATGATTTATTTTTTAAAAAAATTGTTGGTTAATTAGTTCTTGGTCTCGAGATCTAGTTATAGACCCAGTTATAGTCGCATAGAGAGCCAAATTCGTTTGCCAATGTTAACCAATAGAAAATCGTTTTCTAAGGATGCAGTCCGGGGGTGGTTTTGTCTCGACTATAAACGGTGCTGAATGAAATTTCCTAACCGTTATCCATTGCGCTGTTTTCCTTTATAATCTGACTATTAAATGCCGCGATATTCAACAAAAAAACATACTGTATTAACATCTGGACACACAAAAACCGTCGTGTGGACGAAACTAACTGATTTTTCGTTGTAAAACAAATCGTGCCACGACCGCAGTGCATGCCACACATAAGATAAAGAAACGTGTTTCTGAATTGCTGACAAATGACGACTGAATATCATTTGAGAAAGAAGAAAACTTACAATTTCAATAATCTTTAAGATCGACGGTGCAGATTTGACGTAGTCCATGTTTAATCGAACGCCCGATTGCTCTCCAGGGGCAGRGTGCTGAGGTTCCTCACCAGGTTGGACTGGCTGTTGTCCGGGTTGATAAGGCTGCTGACCTTGTTGTTGAGCACTTTGCATCTGCTGCTCGACGTCCGCCATTTTTATTAACGTTCAATAAAACTAAAACCAAATTGTAAATATTAGGTTCCATTTGTCTTAAGAACGGCATTTTTCGTCACTTTTAGCGCAAGATTTGCTATGAATCACATTTTAAGTAAAGACTATATTTTGCTTTTGCTTTTGCTTTTGCCTCTCTTTGAAAGATTATCAAAAATAACACTGTTTCAGCTCATAAAGTTCCCGGGGGGGGACTCCCTTATAAAAGTTAGTAGGTATGCTCAACGGACCCTTTAGGGTCGAGAATAAAACCCTCTCGTACCTTTTAGGGTCCTGAGCCAGAAGTACATATGTACTTCTGTCCTGAGCTGAATCCGTACCTTTTAGGGYCAATTTTCGAACAACGGGAAAAAATTGAAGAAGTGTTGTTAAGAAATAGATTTTATTAACCTCCACAATCTATCGACATTGATTTTCTACAGTTTGTTAAACTTTAGCTTTTCTCTTGTTAAAAGACGTCAAAAATGATCGTAACTTTTAGGATCTGGAATCGATACCTGAATTAATCCGTCCGTCGAGCATACTTACCAACTTTTATAAAGGAGTCCAGCCCGGGATAAAGTCACTTATGTCACAAGCATTGACTTCAGTTCAGTTTCGCAACGACTTTGTCTTTTTCACCTTCTCTTGTGAGTTTTTTGTAATAATAATTCTTGTTTTACTATATTATAATCGGATTATTTTTACGAAGCACGAACAAAGTATTATAGTATTCAATAAAAACAGACTTGAAGTTTCAAGATAGAACTTTGTTGGAACTTGTTAATCAGTATTCTTAATCAGCAATCGTTCATAGTAAATACGAATGATAGAAGTTCACTAAACGAAAAAGCATGAAAGCACTCGATAAAAAATTATAGAGTTTGCTGAAGAAGGCCGAAGTGCCGAAACGTTCTAATAAAGAGTAGATACTAGTTGCAAGTTGTGTGCCTTTTTCTTCAATTTATTAAATTGATAAAAAATTATATATATATATATATATCAAATCTGTTGATAAAATGCTGAATTACTCGGGACATCCGCACCCTCTCATATAGAAAAGGGAGGCAAATCTCGACTTGCACTTCTCTTTCAACTAGCAGTGCAGTCTTTATTCCATTATTTCGACACCGTCTTCTTTCTGATGATTAAATATAAAACAACCACGCTCCTTGAAATCTGTGGTTCTTTTGTAGTCGGATAGATGATATCAATTCAACGGAGAAACTACGAAAGTTAAAAGTCTGTTAAGTATTTCACGGATTTAGCGTTTTCAAAAGTGGCATTTTAACTCTGATATCTATTTCACGGATTTACCTCTTCGTCATCGATTCATTAATTATAGATTGCATACCTCTTTTTGAAGGTTTCCTGTTAGTCTTTACTCTTCTTCTTCTCGCCCTCTCCTTAAACTCTTGTACTTCTTTCGCCTTATTTTCGACCTTTCTATTTCAATTCAGTATCCTAAACAATTGACCAGTTTTTGAAATGATCATTTCCTATTACATCAAACTTATGAGGAAAAGCAGTGCATTGTGGTATGATTGGTTCCTGAAAGACACGTGACCAAACTTTTATTTTGATACGTTTTGATTGGATGCTTTCGAAACCTCTATGTATGGTTTCCCTGTGTGTGTTTACGTATATGTTCACATGACAAATGATGTAAACGTTCGGTGCGATAGTCAAACAATGTAAATGTTGTAATGCAAAGCTGTCTTTCGTAAATCTGATAAATTTTCTTCGTGTTCCCTCGCGCTTTTTATACATCCCCATCCTCGCGCGCGAATTATACGAACACGCGCGCGCGTTTTCTTTTTGTTCTCGTGCGAATTACAATTTGCTCCAAGTTATGGAAAAAAAACGCACGAAAAAAAGAAACGATTTTGATARCCATAACACTCATGTTTGTTTACAACAGACTACAGGATTTCTTTTTACTCGAAGGTTCTYGTAGCATTAGATCTCTGACCCTTTTACGTCATGTACCGTATACGCAATGCATTGTAGGATATGTTTGAGACAGAACATGGCGGATTTTGTTTTGTTTTCTCTAGTAACTGATCCCACAATGCATTGAAAATCAAGTAGTGACGTAAAAGGCTCAGAAGTATTTTGATCTCTGAACCTTTTACGTCACTACTTGATTTTTAATGCATTGTGGGTTCAGTTTTTAGAGAAAACAAAGGAAACCCGGCATGTTCTGTCTCATATAAATCCATGAATCAGGACGTCAAAGATACATCAGAAAAGTGTGATGGAATTAAAGCGTACTAGAGAAGTAAAGTTAGATACTTTATTTGAAAAACCTTTGCAGCCAGAGGCTGAATTACAGTATGACATTACAATTCTAAAATTGATAAAAGGCCTAGGTTAGATAAAGAGTRTTCACAAAAAACATAACTGAAAACAAGGGATTTTTTTACAACGTGCGGTTTTGCGCAACCAAGTGCATTGGTGTAATATCTATTTCACGGGTTTTTCACGGGTTTTTTGACTTCACTCTAAGTTTATTCACTTTATTATTATTTTATTACATATTTACTTTTTTTGCACGGGTTGAATGTTTTAAAAAGTTACATTGCAGTTAGAGACTACTGAGGGTTACTTGTCTAACATCACCTCATCCCCCACAATTCTTTACGATCTAACTTGATTAGGTGTTATGATATCTTCGGAGACAACAGTCTTTAACAAGCTGTGTCCATTCAGCCTCGCCAAGCTTGAAAGAGGAAGACAATGTCGAYAATAAAAGCGACTAGGGCAAAAAAGGCAAACGCCTGAAAAACAGGAAAAAAAAWTTTCCAACTGAATTCAAACCCTTCTCAGAAACCTGTTGGAACATTTGGCCTTAATGGCATACTAGATGTATGGTCGATGATCAAAATTAAAAAATTGTGATTGTCACCTACCACAGATGCGTAGAATYTCCCGTCTAGTTTAGCTTTTGTCCCTAGTAGCTTATTGTAAGCCTCTATTTGTTTTCGGTGTTTGTCGACAGAGTTGGCCCACAGAGAAGCAGCGATAAGAAGCACAAAAGCCAAGATTACAGTGGTAATCAGAATCTAAAAGAAATATTGAATAAAGTATTAGTTTCTGTGAGATTTCTCGTCAAAGAAAGTGGGACTCGAACTTACAAGTATCCCAGCCCCTTTTGTCGCTGACTGTATTTCCAGTCAAGGTGCAAAGAAGATGCAAAATAAGAAACTCGATTCTCTACCTCGTGGCTCTTCGAGCCTGATTAATAATCTATAGTGTACAAAACTTACCACGAAGTTCCAGTTGATTTTGATTTTGTCAACCAAGCAGAAGAAGAACAAGACGAAGATGATTATGCATAGAAGCCAAGGAAAAACAGTAGCAAAGAGAAAGAAATTGTATTCACTGGAATATTTGTAGACGCTGGACCTACAAACACTACCGCAAACATCAGCAGCGCAAGAGAAGGCAATCATGAGAAGAAACTGCAAAAAAAAAAAAAGATACAAAGATAAACGTCGATGAATGTAATGGCGCTAAATTATTGGATTGATAGGATTGCAGAGCACGACGCGACGAAATTGAACTTTATCGAATCGACATCTATTCTGAATTTAATAGCATCGACTTGGATTGCATCGTTTTCCAATTCATTAACGTTTTAATCCATTCAGTTACATCATTTGAAACGTGAGACCCGATAGGGTAGTAAAAAAGCGAATGAATCAATGCGATTCCAGGTTTTATATGGTTAGGATCCGATGACGATGCAATGGAAAAAATCGCGCTCCATGAAGGTCGTAAATTTGATGTAATTTTCACGATATTTACAATGTTTGTAAAAATTGTATAAATTGCTTGTAAATTGCTTGTAAATTTTRTGTGAATATTTTGTAAGTGTCCAAAATCTTGCAAATATAGTACTGATATGATATTTAAATTTACAACCTTTGGATAGCATTCACAGATTGAATTGCGATCAAATCTATGAATATGGTGRATGATCGCGGATCGCATTWAYCTGGATCGGATCCGGATTACACTATCCTGTACATAATTGGATCGAATCCGGAATGGACGAGATCGGATCAGTCTATTAGATTAGGTGAGATTCAATTCTTTTTTGACTTACAAATTCTATGATTTTCAAGATTCCTCTTGGTGATCTCAAATAGGTCATGTTCATCAAGACGGTGCCGCTTCCAGATGACTGCTGAGGAGTTGGTTGGGGTTGCTTTTCAGGGTCGGCCATGTTGATTCTACAAKGTTGATTGGTGAGTAAGATTAATATAGTYMAACCTGAATATKAAGTTGASTGCGTGAGCACTCAGGTCATGATATRGGCCATTATAACCATTGACTGTAACGAAASTCGAAGTTGTGTGAATATTCCAAATGCAAGGTTGCTTGCATCTTAGATTAAAATGTTCTAGAAACCTCATGGAAGTAAGTTTAAGTTACTCAAAAGTAAATGTCCAAAGCTCAGAATAATTTCAAATGAGTTAACACTTTAAAACATAATTTATACAAAAATCTAATTTATAAAGCTAAATCTGTTTTGCTGTGTTGAAGTCAGACCGGGTCTATAAAAGCAAGAATTATAATACTATTCGTTTTCATTGTTTTTTAATTGCATTTTTGCTTTCCTGCCATTTCCGGTTTCGATCTAGTAGAGAAAATTTTAAAAACCAGCTTTKCCCGTTCRGCGGRTTACTTAGRCAAACGACTGCAACTGATGTTATTTATGAAACAAWACKTTTTTATCTTGCCGGAATTTGCAATCTGAARTCATCAGAAACTGTTTCCGAACTTTCKTYTTTTTRTAAGGCGTGTTWTAAATGAAAGAAGTCTAACGCGGAACTGAACCTTGTTCATGATCTATGCAGTTTGGATAGTTATACTTCGGATTTYTCTAGATTCTTAGGACTCGCCGTTCACAGGATATATGGCGTTCCTTGGGAGTAGAACCAAACTCTTGTGTTTTCAATCTTTTAGAAGGACGAAAAACAAAACAAAAGGTTTTGCTGGCCTTACTACCGAAACCTGCTATTAATTTCAATATCTTATAGTGAATATTCATCAGTGGCTCATCATTAGTTTCCATCCAAATCTATTTCCTTTAAAGTCGAGGTAGTTTCCAACATAATATCGCTATATTTTCTTACCTTTAAGTACTGCACTGCTAAAGAAAGCTGCACTAGTGTCTTTTTTTCGTCACACCCGATCTGATCTCTCCGCTTTCGATATGCTAAATCCGCGTCGTTCCTAGTCATTGATCAGTGACTATTCTCAAAATCGACTGTTTGCATGCCAACTAACTCTTCACTCCAGCAACGCGACATTAAAGCGACATTTAGAATCAGTYACGGAACAAAGGACTCTTCCACTTTCGACGAGAAATAGTTTCAAACGAAAACAAGCCTTTATTTGCACATCATAGTATTGTATTTCTGATGTTTTTTTTATTGTAAATTGATGTGAAAAGTATAATATTGTATATTGTCAAACTATATTGATGAATTACATTAAATTAGGAACATAGGAATTCATGAATTCTGATCACTTGAGCCAGGACGCATTTTATACACGATTAGAATACTATTTCMTAAGTGACCAGGCCGCCAGTAGAATAGAAACCCCACGCGTGCTGCCTTCTAAAATGCATTCAAAGTGAAACTATAAAAGCCCTTTCGCAACAACTTGATAAAAACAAACACATTTATGAGGGTCCTGAAGAGGTTAATTGGGAATTGGAATTTGGATTTTTTAGTCGTGGGATCAGTTGGATTTATTGGGATTGGTAAATGCGAATGGGATTTGGCTATTTCCTATCCATTGAGTATCTCTTTTAATGCTAAAAAAAATGTTCTAAAATGATTAATTGTAACATTTTACTCTAGTAGACTTGAAAAGAAAATTCGAAATAAACTTTAGCTAAGGCCAGAAAGAACAGTATTTTGGGCTTCCTGTGGCAATTGACTGGGAATTCAGGACCCTCATATATGTAAATAGCAGCTCTCGTAGTTCATGGGTATGGGTGTCAGTCATGGATGTCAGTCTTTAAATACTATGACGACATATCTAATCTTTATTTCAAAACTGTGACGTCATTTTGMATAACAATAGTATATGTTTATGAYRTCATCGTTTGTTGTAACATTAGCTCTCAGGACGTCTCTTTGTCGTACAACTTGAAGTGATAAACCTCTTCTACCAGCTTTTCGTTAGTTTTTCCTATATGATAATGGTATTTTATGCTGTCATCAAGTTCAATGATTAAAGACCGAGCTTTCTTCGTCTTCGTCTTCTTCTTTCTTTAAAGAATGAAACAGCGTGTAATATGGCTTCGATAAAGAACAAGAACGACGCCACTAGAGTCAGAACCTGGAATCGGAATGTTTACATATTAGTAATTAGGTTATATATATAGTTTTATTCATATCAAGGAATAAAGCTGTCATCTTGAAAAAATCACGATGGGCAACTGACACGTCGAGGTTTTAATCAAAATGTTGCACATTTTCTTTTCTTTTCTGACACGTCGAGGTTTTAATCAAAATCTTGCACATTTTCTTTCTTCTTTTCTTTTACAAATATGGAAATAGTTGTGCTTATTTTTGCTAAGTGAAACGTAGATTTGACGAATTCATTTGACGAACATTTGTAAAGCGAAACTGTAGAGTTCGTTTCATGCTTTGCTACACAAAATGACATGATGTACGTTCCAGTTTTCTTTCTTCTTTTCTAGCGTGCTTAGCAATCCTAAGGGGACTGGGGAGGGCCGAGCGGAAGCGGAGAAATAGGGAGGACCTTTTCGTCCTTCCCAATCTTCGCTCGGTCCAGTCCCCAGTCCCCATAAAGGAAWGAAGAGAAAGTCTCCTGCATTAGGCTACAATSTWCATCGACTGTTTACACAAATAAAGGGGATTTTCAATCGCATAAAATGTGCCAACTAACATCCATACCACGGCAGCRATCAGGCTATAATAGTAGTGCTTGATGTCATCTGTAAGGTCATCGTCTTTCCATTCTAGTTTTCTGTGATTGACAGCATCATTTGCCATGACTGCAGCCACTACAGCAAGAAACACAACCTCGACAACGCTAGCAAAAGCACCCTATATCAACAAGAATAAAGGCTGGTTGGTTGGTTTTCTAAGAAAATTAGTCAGTAAATTACTTCGATTGGACGTGTCAGTGCTATTTGGTTAATTATGTGGTTAGTAGCTGGTCGTTTTAATTTGTGTTAGTCTGATAAGTGGTTTTGTGAGTAGGTGGATTGCTCAGGAATGGTTATTTGGATAGCCTGGGTTGATTGGTAGGATGTGACTGCATGCTTAGCTGGATTGCATAGGAATGGGTTATTTGGATAGCCCGGGTCGATTGGTGGGTTGTGACTGCATGCTTAGCTGGATTGCTCAGGAATGGGTTATTTGGATAGCCTGGGTCGATTGGTAGGATGTGACTGTATGCCTAGCTGGATTGCTCGTGAATGGCTTATTTGGATAGCCTGGGTTGATTGGTAGGATGTGACTGCATGCTTAGCTGGATTGTTCAGGAATGGGTTATTTGGATAGCCTGGGTCGATTGGTGGGATGTCACTGGATGCCTAGCTGGTTTACTTACGCAAAGATCCCAGTGATAGAGCGGCTGTCGTTGTTCTAACGAACATATCATCATGATAAAGAAGATGAGCTGTAGAATCCAAGACAGACAGACAATGATGTAGTAGAAGACGAGTGTTGGCGGAGGACCTTTCCAGAAGAATCCGTACTGTATCATACACGACATGGCCGTGATGAGAACAAGCTGAGAATATAGAAATCTCATCAATCAATCGATCAATCAATCAATCAATTAATCGCATCAACAAATCAATCAATAACATCATCAATCGATTGATCAATCAATTATTCACATCAATCAATCAATTAATCACATCAATCAATCAATTAATCACATCATCGATCGATCGATCAATCAATTAATTACATCATCGATCGATCGATCAATCAATTAATCACATCATCGATCGATCGATCAATTAATTAATCACATCAATCAATCAATTAATCA